TTACAAGCATATTTCCATCCTAAGGACTGGGTATTCAGACATCTTACCAACATGTAGGGTTTCTCATTCCCCCTGGATTTTAGTTTATTGCAGGTCACCCTCCAGAACTTTTCACTTTGCCCCAACAATTTAATGACTTCCAGTTATTCTTTCAATGTAACAATATTACAGGTTCCAAAAGAGAGAAATTGTGCTTTTTGGCTAAAAAGGCTCAAACTAGTTTTTCTATCCTTTAAATGACATTAAGGTTATGATTCAGCTAATCAATTATTTTTCTCATAGAGTATTAGATGAGTCACGGGTAAAGGAAGTGTTGACATTAGATCGCTCTGTTCCAGAAGCAGTTATCAGTGAGGATGAAGAGGTTTGTACCATACCAATGTTAGTTGCAGTAGTGTGAACAACTGGTTTGCTAGTTCAATAGGTTTCAATTATATACAAAAGAGATGTTTGCTGGTGGTGTTCATAAGCTCAATGCAAGCTACATGGCATTCCAAAGATTTTATTTGTGCTCACCATTTAATCTAGGTAAAGCCTGCCTTTGAGCGAAGTGGCCCATCAATCTGGTGACTACCTTAGAATTCCGAAAGTAATGCCCTCCCCCCTTCCAAAAAATAATGACTCTTCAAACGTAACATTAATTTTTTTTACCTTCCTATTGAACCCCGAAAGTAATGGCCCACCCAAAGCAGTCCTTTGAAGAAGTCACTAAAAGAGAGGCTCTCTGATCTTAAGTGTAGTGTGGATGGAACAGCCTGACTGCAGGACTGGACAACTTGAAGTCAGAGTTATTTCTGATTTTACTTCAAACTTAACTGAATTTTTCTTGAAACTATGATTTATGAGCTGTTTTGGTCTAGCAGCAGAGTAAAATGATACACTGTAGTGTAATCAGTTGCATTGTGATATAATGCGACCATAGTACTTTAGCCCATGCATTTAGCTTTGTTTATGTGGGTAGTTAGGAACATACGTAAGTGGAACTTTTAATTTCATGTGTTACGTGTCCACTTTGTCTGAAACAACTGTTACCGTCAGAAACGGTTTTTAACCATCTGAAAGTAACAGCTACCTAAAAGTAGCAGCCCCTTTTGCCTGCTATTTCTCTCGCATGAAGTGACAAGGAGTATTTTTCTTCTCCCTGGATCAGACACTGGTCCATTTCAGGGTTATCATTCAATATCACTTTATTTTTTGGATGGGAGAGGCTATGTGAGAGTGAAGTGTCTTCCCCTTGAAAATAATACTAACAATGATTCCAGCCAAGGTTAAAACTCCAAGATCTCAATTTCAAACTTGTCTGGTGATCAAACCATAGTGCTCAACCTTAGGAATGAGTTCCACAAAAAGCTTCCACACTGGCTGGTTAAAGATTGCCTTGCTTTGAGCTGTGGTTGTTTCATGTCTGCGTTGAGCAATACAGTTCATATTCTTATCTTTTAAAAAATACTTTTTGTGTTGCAGCTAATTTTCATCAATAATATTAATGATACCTCTGCCTGATTTTTTTCTTTTTCTTTTTTTCCAAACAGGAAGAACCTTCTGTGACAGCAGAAGCTCAGCTCCAGATTAAACCAAAACAATGTACCATAAACAAGAAATTAAAAAATTTAACCCAACATTCAGTGCCTCCTGTGGAGGAAAATTAACTGCAGTAGTTGTTTTCACATTACCATCCTAGAGATACTTATTACAAAAGAACTGTGCAAAACAAGGGAATGTTAGAATAGTTTGTACCTTCAAATGGTACCTGACCTCAAAACGAAAATTTTAAATCACCAGTTTTTAGTGAGAAAAAGTTCTTAACATTGTTTCTATGGGTATCATTCCATCTATATCTGTCTGTAAACCCTCACACTTGTTTGCTTGACACATGTATTCAATAGGTATAACAGGGAAGAACATGGTATAACCATTGACTATTTTGGGTTTTCTTTTTCTTATTACTGCCATTAGATTTTATGACATGGTATGTTTGCCCAAAAAAATGTATCCAAAAAGGCACAGCATTGAACATTCAAAATGTACGCCTTATATTTGTGTCAAATTTTCTTCTTTTATTTGAAAGTGCAAATCTGTTCTTACAAACAGTAGAGTTTTTCTTTAGTATTTAAGATATTGTTTCTTTCTGATTACAACTACCTTGTTCTATAAATTGTCATTGATGAAAAAATGTTAATTATTTATTAAAATAAATACTTCTACTCAAAACTGCTGACGATCACCAGAATTCATTATATTATTTCACACAAAACTGCTGGCTACGATCAAAATGTTTTTGGCATGCCCCTGCATTACTGATAAAGCTTTTTTAAAAGATAATGTGTTACTTGATGACATTGGAATATCTTTCAAGTTATTTTATACTTAAAAATAATTAGGATACCGGTATTACTAGCAACAATGCTATATATTAATGTATTTAACTGCTTTTGAATTTCACAATGAATTCCAGATTTTACAATAATTTTATTGGGATGTTATGATGCCACTCATCAAAATATTGCTATTTACTAGCATGCAAGGAGCTTCTTTCCATCAACAAGAGAAAGTGGCCACATAGAGTAGCCACTTGCACATATACATTGATAACATACATTTACACTGATAATTGAATAAAGATGGTGGATTTCCACTTACACTGTTTTACATCAAATATTCCTATTGCATCTTTTGTATTGTTTGTGAAAATAAAGTCTTTTGTACATAAACCTCAATCTTGTTTAGTTCATACATTTTAGCACCATTTTCCAGCTCCTGTTACTACTTTTGGTGCTCTGTGAGTAAAATTGTCAAAATTTGTCAAGTAATAAGACTCTTTTACCAAAAATATGGTTATACCCCTTCCCATTTAGTTAACATCTTTACAGATAAAATGGCCACCTCGTCAAGATGTCTTTCTCATGCTGAAAACTATCTCCCTGTTTTTTAGATACAGATCTTACATAGCACATTACCAGATTCAGTGTACTTTATACAACCCATCTTTCACTGCCACCACCACAATAATTGTTTAGTTCTTTTGCCAGTGATGTTTGTTTCAAAGGCAGTAAAATGAGGGATGAAAGGAAACTTCTGGAAGACAAACCCAGAGTCAAACTACACTCTAATCAAAACACTACAGCCACTTTACAACTTCCTGATTTAGTAAACGGAATTTGAAGATAAGAATTGTGGCACAAGCCACACAAAGTAACAACTTGCAATACCCCCAAAAAAGGGGGAGAATGGATGGCAGTGTGGTGAGATCACTTGCCTCCCACCAACGTGGCCTGAGTTTAAATCCAGGACCTGGCATGTTTATTGTTGGTTCTCACCTTCCTCCAAGGTTTTTTCTCCAGTTTTCCTCCCTCCACAAATTCAAATTTGGTCAGGAAACAGCAGATGAAAGGTCACTGCAAACTCATTGAAAATGAACGATTTATTCCATAAAC